CAGGCAACATCCGATGCCTGTCTCAGCAGCTCGAGAAATTGGTGACCGTGGAGATCTCTTTTGTCCTGACATACTCTTGTGTCTGCCACTCAAGAGAATCCCGGTGTTGAACCTTCCTCAAGCGTGCCTTCACCTTGAAGCAAAGGTTCCACCACAGGCCTTCGACTCGCCAATTCGCCAAGAGCCCGCCTGTGCTCACGTTTTGAACGATCGGGGGAGCATGCATGCTGCTAAGCAACGAGGCTCAGTGACGGGCACTTGCCAATGGGACCTGCACCTCCGAAACCGGCACACAAACTTTATTTCCCATAATTAACTCCTTTCCTTCCCACCTCGCCACTCCACCAGCCTGAAAGCGATGTAGAGTCCAAGCAAACATAAACGACCACATGACGGGTAGCCAGCCTAGCATCGGATAAGAAGAGCTCCATCATGTCCGTTGCATCCGCTGCTGGCCTGCCGCACTACTTTCATTCAATTATTCATTCCTGTGAAAAGGCATACGAAGCACGTCAGGCCTGCCTGGGAATCGAAGCCTTTGCACACGTGTCCATGGCTGTCAAAACTACGCTAGCGACTACTTCCCGTTCTACTGTTCGAATTTCTGCTCTTTGTAAACCGGAATCCCTGCTTGCACCTTCAGTCTTTTCGCTGCTATTCTCTGAACCTTTGCTGCAACTCACCTCGAGCACACCGGGCAGCACGAGTCATGTGCACACGCTGCTTCATCCATGAGATTATCACGCGCTTTAAGCAAGGAAAAGCGAGGGTTGCGGATGGCTTGTCAAACAACCTTTTGAGCCTAGATAAACACCGGGGTCTCCATATATGTCGAAGATAAGCAGCTGCAGCCGGATCACGGACCAACAAGTGCTCCGGACTCTTCTTGTTTTGGCGCTTCTGCCGCGCACGCACTGCGGCGGCTGCTCAGACCTGGCAGGCAGACTTGGCCTGGCCTAACGTTGGTGTGCTGGAGTTGGCTGGCCACGTGTTTTCCCCGGCCTCGTCCAGAAGGTCGTCCTCCCAAGCCCAGACGTGGGAGCAGGAGCTCAGACGCCACCAGTAGCAGGACGGGTCGGGTTTGTCGTCGACTTCTTCGCCTAGCTAGCTGCACGTCCGGGTGATCGCTTCACTTTTACGTAACTGAGATCCATGCAGACCCATCCATTCGCCTTGAGAACGTCCACGGCCTTCTGGATCCTTCCGATGCCCTTGCAGCGAGGCCCGCATCGAGTGTACATGTGGACCTCCGGAGCGTCTGAGACCTCTGCACGCAGCTTGTCCTTGATCTCTCGGATTTTGCGCCAGCGGGCTTCTGCGAACTCCCAAACGGCGTAAAGACGATCTGACCGGCATTTGTTGAAGTGCGCATTCGATATTTCTCCAAAGTCAATGCTCATGCATCTCAGCTCGGGACTTTGCTCGTCGGCTGTCGCCGATGTCCACTTCTTCAATCTGACATGGGAGCATGTTGTGGTGATGGCGGTAACTTGAAACGAGGCAGCGACTGCTTTCTTGTTAGCGTGTTGCGCCATGCTTTCTCGGCTGCATAGTTCGGCCTGGCATCGTTGAGACAAGTCTACAATTCGGCTGTGGCTGAGCAGTTCTGAGAGGCTGGCTGCACACAAGCTGCTGCGCTTTGGTCCATCCTGCGGAGCGTAGCGGCAACAAGGCCCTTGTCATGTGGGCTGCAAGGATCCTCACGCGCCTTAAGCAACGAAAATCGAGGGTTGCGGATGCAAATGATCTTTTGAGCCTAGATAAAGTCGAACATAAAGACTTGTTGAGGCAAGCTTCCAGGATTTTGCGTGGATTCATTTGGAGCTTCGACGCCAAGCGCTCAGGACTCTTTGGTTTTGGCATCCCTGCCGCGCACGCACTGCGGCGGCTGCTCAGACCTGGCAGGCACACTTGGCCAAAAGTTGGTGTGCAGGAGTTATCTGTCAACGCGTGTTCCTGCCTCGTCCAGAAGGTCATGCTCCCAAGCCCAGACGTGGGAGCAGGAGCTTAGGCGCCTTGTCCTCGATTTCTTTGCCTGGCAAGCTGCACATTCGCCGTTTGCAGCTCTTGCCCGCTTGCGGATCAACCAAAACCTCAAGAATGATGGAGAAATGTCCGTGGGCCCAGCATCCATTTTGCAGGTCAAGCCACCAGACCCAGTGCGGTTACCGACGCGAGCCAAAGCAATGTCCAGAAGCCCTGTTGGTCCGTGGGAACGTCCACGACCTTCTGGATCTATCCGATACCCTTGCAGCGAGGCTCGTAGGAAGTGTACATATGGACTTCCGGAGCGTCTGAGGCCTCTGCATGCAGCTTATCCTTGATCTCTCGGAGTTTGCGCCAGCGAGCTTCTGCAGAGTCCTAAACGGTGTAGAGAAGATCTGAGAAGCATTTGCTCGAGAACGCATTCCATATTTCTCGAAAGTCGGTGCACATGCATCTCAGCTCGGGACTTCGCAAGTCGGCTGTCGCGTAGGTCCGCCTTTTCAACTTGATATAACATATTATCTATAACTGTAGAATACAGATAATCTAAGTTCTCAATCTTTTAGCATGAATTGAAAAATCTTGAGGTAAACGAACTTATCAGACCTATCCTGCCAGGCCTGGAGGCGCATCGTACCGAACCCAGCGTGCCAGCTATAATGGATCTGCTAAAGAAGGCCGAAATTAGCGTGGCAGCTATAACAGATCTGCTAAAGAAGGCTGAGTGCTGTTGCTGTCGAGTTTTCAAGCCAGACATTACACAGTTGAATCGCAGCTTTTGTAAACTAGTTTGTTTTCTTCTGCCTTTCCAGATATCAACAATTGTCTAGGTTTCTGCATGGGATGATTTTGCACTTAATTCCACGGGGCATGTGGTAGATTCTCTGCACGCGGGCTTTGTTTTCCGCGCACACACTGCAGCGGTACGGGCTTTGCAGCTCAGTCGTCTGGCCAAAATTCCTGTAGGGTTGCGTTGCATGGGCTTGGATAGGCGACGGCCTGCTGTTGAGGGCCCGACGCACTCGTCCAGCTGATCCCTCGTGGGATCATAGCCCATCCAACCGGGAACAATGCGGCAGCAGTGTTGCACCTGTCAGCATTGAATTTAAAAAAAAGCTTCAGCTAGTGCATGCACAATCAGGTCAGGTTGGCGCTCGTGTACACGTACCACTTCTCTCCCCATCGCCAATACCACTGCCCGTTCGACCTGCCACGGACGCGTTGGACGTTGGTCGCGATTACAAAGTGCTCTTAGTGTCAGGTAACATTTCGGGCACGCACCTTGCTTGGAAAGGTCGTCCTATGTCTGTTCTCGACGCAGTTGTTCCCATGGCTGATGCGAAAGCTTCAAGCTATGAAAATACTGTCTGTGTTGTACTGCTAGGAGTTGCTGGGGCACTAGCCGCTTCAAAAACAAGAGGGGTCGTCGACTCGCCGGGAAGCGTGTCTTGCTTGAGAAGTGATGCCGAGTAGGTTCGCCCACAAGAATTTGTCGTAGGTAAATATGTTGCTTCTGGTGGCGTGCACAGTATCTACGCTTTCTTTATGTACTTTGCCGATGTGCCGTTTCGTTTTCCGTATGCAGCGCTGCAGGCTAGTAGGGTCCTTGGCACAGCCGCCACTTCTTCAAAGTGGCGGGCACGGGTGGACACTGATAAGCACCTGGCATCCCAAACACGTTGAAGATTAGCGCACGGGCCGGGCCAGCGGGCCTTCCAGCTCTTGGCCTCGTTGATTCATGCTGGGGTAGGCACCTGGCACCCCATACAGTTGAGGAAAAGCGTACCTGTCGAGATAAGCACCTGGCACCCCACACAGGTGAGGATATTCCGGCTTGTTCCAGTTGACAACTTCATTCGGGCTGAGGACAAGAACCTGGCGCCCCATACAGGTTGAGGATAAGCGCACCAGCTGGGTAAGCCGGCCTTCCGGCCCCATTCCAGCTTTCAGCTTCGCTCAGGTTGAGGATAAGCACCTGGCACCCCATACAGGTTGAGGATAAGCTGTGAAGCGAAAGCCTGGCCTGAGACGTCGTCGTTCGGTCAGCTGCCTGCATCAGCGAGAGTGCTGTTGCTGCGAGTTGAGGATAAGCGGGGCGGCCGCACTTCCCGACCCCCGTTCAGGATAAGCGTGGTGGCTGCACCTCGCGATTAGATCAGGTCGAGGATACCCACCTGGCGTCCCCGCACCGGCTAAGGAAAAGCAAACGAACTGGGTCGGCTTTGCCCGCCTCGTTCGGGTTGAGAATGAGCCTCTGGTCTAGATAGCTCTCTTCCGTGTTGAGGAGAGCGCCTGAGCAAGCCAGCATTTCATTTTGGGGGAGGACAGGACGACGGGTGCAGAGCATGCGTGGGTCAGGAATCGACTATTCAAGCCTATTCTTTGTTGCGTGCTCGCTGCTCGCTGCAGAAACTCACGAGGTGAGAGGATTCTCGTGTACTCAGAGCGTGTTCGTCGCTCGCTACAAAAACTCACAAAGTCAGAGGGCTGCGTTGGATGTCAGAGGCGTCCTCTCCTCGCGAGGTAAGTCTCGACCTTCTTGGCGCTGCGCTGGAGGCTGAGGATCCTTTTCGCTTCGTCTGCCTTGAGCTGTCTCCGCTTCCTTTCGACAGACTGCAAGTTCTTGAGGCATAGTCGGACATCCTTCTTAATGTGCTTATTCAGTCCAGCGAATGCCTCTGTGGGAAAGCATTGCAAGCGTCGTGCGAAGTCGAGATCGTCCACCATTTTCGTGGCAATCTTTGGGTATCTGACCAAGCACCCTAGCAGTGACAGGCATGGCAGCTTGAGGGCCCAGTGCGATTTCAAGGTGTACCCCGCTATCAGTCTCGCCAAGTACACCGACAACAGCTGCCACTTCCGTGCACTTCTGCAAGTGCAGGTAAGACAGGCCAGCATATTTGGCCGATCCATGGCGTGAGGCAGGTTGAAGATTTGGTTTTCAGCTCGGGCCCTACAACTGCAAAGAGACCAGCTGGTGTGCCGGTTCAGCTGAGTACTCACGCAAACCCGCGCTATCCATTAGTGAGGAGAAGCGAACCAGCCGGATAAGCGGGCCGCCCGGCCTCATCCCAGCATCCAGCCTCGTTCGGGTTGAGGACAAGCAGCACCTCAAAAGTGTTGAGGATAAGCAGATCAGCCGGACAAGCGGGCTTTCCCGTCTCACTCCAGCACCCAGCCTCATTCGGATTGAGGACAAGCACCTGGAACCCCATACAGGTTGAGGAGAATCGAACCAGGCGGGTAAGCGGGCCTTCCGGCTTCATTCCCAGTTTCCAGCCTCATTCGGGTTGAGGACAGGCATCAGGCAGCCCGTATATGTCGAGGATAAGCACTGGCGTACCGGCCGGGTAAGTGGGTTTTCCGGCCTCATTCCAGCTCCCCGCCTCGTTCAGGTTGAAGGTAATCGCCTGGCACCCCATACAGGTTCAGGAGAAGCGAACCAGCTGGGCAATTAAGCGGCCCTTCTGGCCTCAATCCAGCTCTTGGCTTCGCTCACGCTGATGATAATCAGCACCTGGCACCGCATACAGGTTGACGATAAGCGTACTAGCCGGGTAAGCGGGCCTTCCAGCCTCATTCCAGCTCCTCGCTTCGTTCGGATAAGCACCTAGCATCCCAAACACGTTGAGGATGAGCGCACCAGCCGGTAAGCGCTCCCTCTGGCCTCGCTGCAGCCTTGCTTCGTTTAGGTTGAGAATGAGGATAAGCACTTGGCACCCCATACAGGATATGTCGGGTCAGTGACCCTTCCGGCCTCATTTGAGCTCCCTGCTTCGTTCAGGTTGAGGATAAGCACCTTGTACCCCAAACAGGTTCAGGAGAAGCGAACCAGCCGGGTTTTCAGGTTGGGGACGACACCTGGCACCCCACACAGGTTGAGAGTAAGCCGGGCAAGCGGTTCCGGCCTCGTTCCGGCTGAGGACAAGCATCTGGCATCCCAGACGTTGAGGATAAGCGGGTCAGTGACCCTTCCGGCCTCATTCCAGCTCCCGGCCTCGTTCAGGTTGAGGATGAGCACTTGGCACCCCAGGCATAAGCGAACCAGCCGAGTAAGCGGGTCTTCCGGCTTCATTCCAGCCTCCAGCTTCGTTTTGATTTCGGTCGAATACTATACACGAGCGGGTGAAACTTCCTGCAGACCCCCGCTCAGGGATGATTTTTGCAAAGGCTGGCACTGATTGCTTGGGCATCTTTGGATCCTTTTCCAAGGCTCTCTTAATGATGTCGCTGTGCTTCCTCCCTTGCTCCTCGTCCCCCCTGCGCTCCGACCTCATCCCCACCTCCATCCTTTTCGAGCGGAGACCACGCACCTGGGACCCCATATTGGTTGAGGATAAGCGCTCCGGCCTTGTCCCTGCTTCCGTCCTCTTCAAGTTGAGAGCACGCACCTGGGACCCCATATTGGTGGAGGATAAGCGCCCCGGCCTTGTCCCCGCTTTGGACCTCTTCAAGTTGAGACTGCGCACCTGGGACCCGACCCCATCCTAGTTGAGGATACGCGCCTGGCACCCGGTGCCGTCTGAGAACAAGTACATCGATCTCGCACCATTTAATTTAAGAGAAAGTTTAAACACGGTGGGGAACCGTGCAGCAGCACCCTGGCACGCTGTTCGAATTCAGTATAAGTCAATTGGCCGGGCAGGCGGACCTTCCAGCCTTCTCTCTTTGTCGGCCTTCGCTGTGCTCCACTAAGCGTGTACTATGGAGATAATGGGACTACAGCGGCTTGGAACCGGGCAAAGCTCGGATTTTCTGATCATTTCGCTGCATTTCGATGAGTGAGACGACATACTTCAGCCGAGCCTTTTACGGCGAATGGCTTCTACCACCATTGCCAGAGCCGCGGTTGTACGTTCGGACAGGCGCTTTGCTGCCGCGTGCCTCCGCTCCCAGATCTCATCTTGTTTTCGTCTTCGGAGCCTTGCCTTCTGCTTTCGTTCGACGGTCTGCAAGTTGTTCAGGCATAGTCGGATATCTTTCTTGACGTATTTATTCAGCCCCGTGAACGCATCGGCGGGGAAGCATCGCAGGCGCCGTGCGAAGTCAAGATCGTCCGCCAGTTTCTTGGCGATCCTTGGGTATTTGACCAGGCATCCTAGTAGTGGCAAGCATGGTAACTTCAGGGCCCAATCTGATTTCGAGGTGTACTCCTGTATCAGCCCCCTCAGGTACGCGGACAACCGCTGCCACCTCCGTGCACTTGTGCACGTACAGGTAAGACAAGCCAGCAGAGTTGGCTTATCCATGAGAAGAAATTGATTGGAGACTGGGGTTTCAGCTTGTGCCTTACAGCTGCGCAATAACAGGTGCATGTGCTGATTTTAGCTTGTGCCCTAGTTCGCGCAAGCATTCCACAGACATTCCAACGAGCCTGCTTGTACTTCTCTCCTCTTCCAGTGGAGACCACGCACCTGGGACCCCATACTGGTTGAGGATAAGTGCTCCGGCCTCGTCCCCGCCTCGATCTTCCTCGAGTGGAGACCACGCACCTGGGACCCCATACTGGTTGAGGATAAGTGCTCCGGCCTCGTCCCCGCCTCCATCTTCCTCGAGTGGAGACCACGCACCTGGGACCCCATACTGGTTGAGGATAAGTGCTCCGGCCTCGTCCCCGCCTCGGTCTTCTTCGAGTGGAGACCACGCACCTGGGACCCCAGTTTGGTTCAGGATAAGTGCTCCGGCCTCGTCCCGGCCTCCGTCTTCTTCGAGTGGAGACCACGCACCTGGGACCCCATATTGGTTGAGGATAAGTGCTCCGGCCTTGTCCCGGCCTCCGTCTTCTTCCAGTGGAGATCACACACCTGGGACCCCATATTGGTTGAGGATAAGCGCTCCGGCCTTGTCCCCGCTTCCATCCCTTTCGGATTGAAACCACGCACCTGGGACCCCATATCGGTTGAGGATAAGCGCTCCGGACTTGTCCCCGCCTCCGTCCTCTTCAAGTTGCCCATATTGGTTGAAGATAAGCGCTCCGGCCTTGTCCCTGCTTCCATCCTTTTCGGATTGAAACCACGCGCCTGGGAACCCATATTGGTCGAGGATAAGCGCTCCGGCCTTGTCCCCGCCTCCCTCTGCTTCAAGTTGAGACCGCGCACCTGGGACCCCGTATTGGTTGAGGATAAGCGCTCGGGCCTCGTCCCCGCCTTCGTCCTCTTCAAATTGACACCCCGCACCTGGGAGCCCACATCGGTCGAGGATAAGCGCCCCGGGCCTTGTCCCCGCTTCCCTCTTCTTCAAGTTGAGACTGTGCACCTGGGACTCCATTTTGGTTGAGGATACGCGCTCCGACCTCGTCAGTTGACACCCCGCACCTGGGAACCCATATTGGTTGAGGATAAGCGCTCCGGCCTTGTCCCCGCCTCCCTCTGCTTCAAGTTGAGACCGCGCACCTGGGACCCGGTATTGGTTGAGGATCAGCGCTCGGGCCTCGTCCCCGCCTTCGTCCTCTTCAAGTTGACACCCCGCACCTGGGAACCCATATTGGTTGAGGATAAGCGCTCCGGCCTTGTCCCCGCTTCCGTCCTCTCCTTCAAGTTGAGACCACACACCTGGGACTCCATATTAGTTGAGGATAAGTGCTCCGGCCTTGTCCCCACTTCCGTCCTCTCCTTCAAGTTGAGACCACACACCTGGGACTCCATATTGGTTGAGGATCAGCGCTCCGGCCTTGTCCCTGCCTCCCACTTCTTCCAGTTGAGACCACGCACCTGGGACCCCATATTGGTTGAGGATTAGCGCTCCGGCCTTGTCCCCGCCTCCGTCTTCTTCAAGTTGAGACCCCGCACCTGGCACCCCATATTGGTTGAGGATCAGCGCTCCGGCCTTGTCCCCGCTCCGTCCTCTTCAAGTTGAGACCACGCACCTGGGACCCCAAGTTATTTTCTTTTCCGGAGCCGTGGCTTGGCGGCTGGCGCAGTGCGGCTTTTCCTGCCATATTCGGCCGGGGGACAAGCGTGGCTGCTGTAACTCCTGACCCCTGTTCAGGTCGAGGGTACGCTCGATGGCTGCATTGGGTCTTTCATATGCATACCGGATGCACCGCAGGCAGCTGCAGGACAAGCAACCCCGCACATGCGACCGAGCCCATTGCAGCTTTTGCTTTTGCTCGTGCGAGCGAGGATTCAGAGAAGTCAGCGCATTGCGCATTCCAAAAGCACCTCGGTGACACGAAAGCGTTCGGGTTCACCATGGCGACCAACCCATTCGACGGCGTCGTTCTTGAAGAACTGCATCAGATGGGGACGATGGAGGCGGCGGTGTGGGGCGGAAACACACCCGCTGCCCCACCCCCAACCCCCTGCCCCTTCACCCCCCTGGCCCCCTTCCTCTTCCCTGAAAACCTGCCTTCACGCTCCCTCCATTAATGTTTGGAACCCCTCTTCCCCTGCAACCTCCTACTCCCCCCCCAACCCGCCTCCCCCCTCCACCACCCGACCCTGCCTCTTCCCCTCCCGCTTCTTCTTCCACCCCCCACCACCCAACCCCTTGCCCCTTCCCTTTCCCTGGTCCCCTGCAACCTGCCTTTCGCTCCCTCTCCCCTCCCTCCCCCCTCCTACCTCCCCTCCCTCCCCCCTCCTACTCCGTCGCTGCCCCCTCACCATTTGCAATCTGCTTTTCACGCAAAACCCGCTCTTGCCTTGCAACCTGCTTCATTAATGCCCCTTCCCCCCTGGCCGCCCCTCCTACCCCCCTGTGCCGTCCTACTCCCCCCCAACCCGCTGCCCCACCCCCACCTCCCCCGTCCTACTCCCCCCCAACCCACTGCCCCCCTTCCCCCCTGGCCCTCCCCAAACCGCCCTCTTCCATTTGTTTGGAACACTCTCCCTTCCCCCCACTCAACGCGCCCTCTCCCCCTACCTGACCCGCTGCCCCACCCCACCACCCGACCCTGCCCCTTTCTCCCTCCCCTTCCTCTTCAAACTCCCTCCATCTTTGGAACCTACTCCCCACCCAACGCCCCTTCCCCCTTGGCCCCCCAACCTCTTCCCTCCCCTCTCCTACTCCAGTCGCTGCCCACCTCACCATTTGCAATCTGCTTTTCACGCAGAACCCTCTCCCCTCCCCTCCCCCTCCCACTCCCCGCCCTCAACGCGCCCTCTCCCCCTGCCCGACCCGCACCTGCTTCATTAATGTTTGGAACCCTCCCTCCCTGCCCCGTCCTACTCCCCCGCCCCCACCACCCGACCCCCTGCCCCTTCCCCCCCTCGCCGCCCCTCCTACTCCCCCCAACCTGTCTTTCACACTCCGCTGCCCCACCCCCACCTCCCCCGTCCTACTCCCCCCCAACCCACTGCCCCCCCCTTGCCCCCTGGCCCCCCCCAACCGCCTGCCCCTTCCTCTTCGCTCCCTCCATTAATGTTTGGAACCCTCCCCCCTCCCTCCCCGTCCTACTCCCCCCCAACACGCTGCCCCACCCCCCACCACCCAACCCCCTGCCCCTTCCCTGCTGGCCCCCCCTCCTACTCCCCCCCCCCCCACCTCTTCGCCTGCAACCTGCTTTTCTTCCCTCCCCCCCCACAACCCAACCCCCTGCCCCTTCCCCCCTGGCCCCCCTCCTACTCCCCCCCCCCCAACCTCTTCCCCCCTACCCGACCCGCTGCCCCACCCCACCCCCTGCCCCCTCTCCCTGGCCCTTCCTATTCACGATCCAGCCTCCCCCTCTCCCCCTCCCACTCCCCCCCGCACCCCCTTCCTCTTCCCGTCCAATCCCCCCCAACCCGCTGCCACTCACCCCCCCACTTCCCCCTGGCCCCCCTCCTACTCCCCCCCCCCTACCTCTTCCCTGCAACCTGCTTTTCACGCTCCCTCCATTAATGTTTGGAACCCTCTCCCCTCCCTCCCCCTCCCACTCCCCCCCTTCAACGCGCCCTCTCCCCCTACCCGCTGCTCCACCCCCACCACCCGACCCCCTGCCCCTTTCTCCCTGGCCCCCTTCCCCCCCCTCCCCCCCCAACCCGCTGGCACCCAACCCCCCCCTGGCCCCCCCGCTCTTCTTCGTGGTGGGAGCACGCACCTGGAACCCCAAATTGGTGGAGGATAAGTGCTCCGGCCTCGTTCCCGCCTCCGCCTTCTTTGAGGATAAGCGCTCCGGCCCCTGGCCCCCTTCCTCTTCACGATTAATGTTTGGAACCCTCCCCCTTCGCTCCCCCTACCCGACCCGCTGCCCCACCCCACCACCCCACCCCCTGCCCCTTTCTCCCTGCATCTTTGGAACCTACTCCCCACCCACCCCCTGCCCCTTCCTCCTTGGCCCCCCAACCTCTTCCCCCTCCTACTCCGTCGCTGCCCACCTCACCATTTGCAATCTGCTTTCACGCAGAACCTCTCCCCTCCCCTCCCCCTCCCACTCCCCCCGCCTCAACGCGCCCTCTCCCCTGCCCGACCCGCACCTGCTTCATTAATGTTTGGAACCCTCCCTCCCTCCCCCGTCCTACTCCCCGCCCCCACCACCCGACCCCCTGCCCCTTCCCCCCCTCGCCGCCCCTCCTGCTCCCCCCAACCTGTCTTTCACACTCCTCCATCCACTCCCCCCGAACCCGCTGCCCCCCGTCCTACTCCCCCCCAACCCACTGCCCCCCCCTTCCCCCCTGCCCCCCCCAACCGCCTGCCCCTTCCTCTTCGCTCCCTCCATTAAACCCTCCCCCGCTACCTCCCCGTCCTACTCCCCCCCAACACGCTGCCCCGCCCCCCACCACCCAACCCCCTGCCCCTTCCCTGCTGGCCCCCCCCCCCCCCCCCCCCCCCCCACCTCTTCGCCTGCAACCTGCTTCTTCCCTCCCCATCCTACTCCCCCAACCCCCTGCCCCTTCCCCCCTGGCCCCCCTCCTACTCCCCCCCCCAACCTCTTCCCCCCTACCCGACCCGCCCCCCTGCCCCCTTCTCCCTGGCCCTTCCTATTCACGATCCCTCTCCCCCTCCCACTCCCCCGTCCAATCCCCCCCAACCCGCTGCCACTCAACCCCCCACTTCCCCCTGGCCCCCCTCCTACTCCCCCCCCCCTACCTCTTCCCTGCAACCTGCTTTTCACGCTCCCTCCATTAATGTTTGGAACCCTCTCCCCTCCCTCCCCCTCCCACTCCCCCTTCAACGCGCCCTCTCCCCCCCACCCCCACCACCCGAGCCCCTGCCCCTTTCTCCCTGGCCCCCTTCCCCCTCCCCCCCAACCCGCTGCCACCCAACCCCCTGGCCCCCCCGCTCTTCTTCGTGGTGGGAGCACGCACCTGGAACCCCATATTGGTGGAGGATAAGTGCCCTGCCCCTTTCTCCCTGGCCCCCTTCCTCTTCCCGTCACCCCCTGCCCCTTCCCCCCTGACCCCCCCTCCTACCTCTTCTGCAACCTGCTTTCGCGCTTCCTCCATTAATGTTTGGAACCCTCTCCCCTCCCTCCCCCTCCCACTCCCCCCCCTCAACGCGCCCTCTCCCCCAACCTGACCCGCTGCCCCACCCCACCACCCGACCCCCTCCTTTCTCCCTGGCCCCCTTCCTCTTCACGCTCCCTACTCCCCCCCAACCCGCTGCCCCGCCCCCACCACCCAACCCCCTGCCCCTTCCCCCCTGGCCCCCCTCCTACTCCCCCCCCAACCTCTTCGGGGTGACCGTCTTCTTCGTAGTGGGAGCATGCACCTGGGACCCCATATTGGTTGAGGATAAGTGCTCCGGCCTCGTTCCCGCCTCCGCCTTCTTCGGGTTGATACCACACACCTGGAACCTCGTAGCGCTCCGGCCTCGTCCCCGCCTCTGTCTTATTCAGGCTGAGACCACGCACCTGGGACCCCATATCGGTTGAGGATAAGCGCTCTGGCCTCGTCCCCGCCTTCGCTCTCTTCGGGCTGTGACCACAAAGCTGGAACCCCATATTGGTTGAGGATAAGTGCTCCGGCCTTGTCCCTGCCTCCGCCTTCTTCGAGCCGAGACCACGCACCTGAGGACCCACATTGGTTGAGGATAATAAGCACTCGCCTCGTCCTCGCTTCCGTCTTCTTCGGGTTGAGACCACGTACCTGGGACCCCTTGCAGGCGAGCCCGCAAGGCTTCGTTCCCGCTCCCGGCCTTCTTCCTGTTGAGGATACGTACCTGGTACTCCATCCTGGTTGCGGTCTAAGTGAGCCGGACGTTGAGAACGGGTGCCTGGTGCTCCCGTGCAAGCTTTCTAGCTCCGTTCGAGGATGGTCACCTGGCACAGGGGGTGTTTCATTGTGATCGGGGATAAGGTTTCGAAGGTGGGGGTAGGGATAAGGTTTGGTGGCGGAGGGGTCCGCAGGGAGGTGCTCCAACCTTTTTTTCTGCCGCCTTTTTGTTTTTGACTCCCCCTACTCTAACCCACACCCGACCTTCCCTCTATTGGTGTTCTCTCCCCTGCCCGCCCCCGCCCTCTTGAACCCACACCCGACCCACCTTTTTTTGCGCTTCCTCTTTTTTGTGTTGGTGTTTCCCACCATCCTGGTCCCACCCACCCCTGCCCCCCTCCCCCCTTTTCTGCTTGTATGTTCTCTCCCTCCACCCGTGCCCCCCATCCCCTTGACTCTACTCTCCCCTCCCCTCCCTCTCCACTCCCCGCCCAACCGCCCTGCGCTTCCCCCACCCAACCTGACTCTTGGAACCCTCTCCCCTCCCCAGCCAAGCCCCTGCCCCCTTCCCGCACCCCCTACCCACCCCCCACTTTTCCCTGGCCTGCCCAATCTCCCCACCTCCTCTTTGGAACCCTTCCTCCCTGCCCCACGCCTGTCCCCTTGCCGTCCAGACCCCCCTCCCCCCTCACCACCCGACCCCCTTCCCCCCCCTTCTACCCTTTCTGTCCCTCCATTAATGTTTGGAACCCCCAACGCCCTCTCCCTACCCGACCCCCTGCCCTTCCTGCCTTCCCCCCACCCCTCTGTTCATGTTTCTCTCGCCTATTGTGGAACCGTGTCTCCTTTACCGTACCCCCTACCCGACCCCCTGCCCCTTCCCCCACCCCGCACTCCCTGGCCCCCCTTCCTACTCCCCCCCACAAACCCACCTTTTTTACACTTCCCCTACACGACCCCCTGCCCCCTTCCCGCACACCCCCCCTCCCCCTTCCCCACCCACACCCTACTCACCTTCCTCTTGACCGGCCCCTTCCCCCACCCCCCACTCACCCACCCAACCGACGAGAATTTGTGCGCTTCCCTCTCCAGAACATAAAAGGAGAAAGGGGGGAGGAAGGGGGGAGGGTGCGTGGGAGTAGGAAGGTTGGAACGTAGCTTGGCATTGGATGAGGGGCACGGGAGGGGCCACTTTCTTGCTCTTCCTTTGCAATCCGTGCAACCCTCTAACCCCCTGGCCGACCCCTAACCTTCTGCCCTCTCCGCCCTCACCCCACCCTCCCCTTCCTCCCGTTCCCTTCCCCCCTCCCCTCATCCTTGTGGTCTGCCCAACGGAGGACGACAGGACATTTGAAAGGAGAGACAAACAGAAGTGAGAGGAGGCAAGGAAGGGGCGAGGAGGGTGTGGGCAGGGCCCCTCCAACCCACCCACCCTCTTCCCTGCGCTGCGTATGTCCTTGACCCCTACCCCCTAACCCCTACCCCCCACCTTAACCCCGTACAACCGCCTGGAACCCCCTTCAACCCAACCTTGTGTCTCGATGCGCTATTTATTTGGGATTTCGACTTGTATTTTTTCTTTTGGAACCCTTCTTCCATGCCCTCCCCCCGCTCCTCCAGAGGGTGCCCCCCCCTACAACCCAGCCTCCCCTCTCTTAATAATATTTGGAACCCTTCCCCCAAACCCTCCCCTTCATCCCTTTTCCCTTCCTCCTCTCGTCCCTTTTTCAATCTTTAGAACTTCGCTCTTCCCACCTTCACCCACCCTCCCGGGTCCCCCCCCCACCCTTCTCCCTTCCGAGCCTCCGCCCTGCCCCCTCCCCTCTATTCGTGCCGTCTTTTTTCTCCTTCCATAATATTTGTAACTCTTCACCACTCCTTCCCCCCTCCCCCTCCAACCCCCCTCCTCCCTTGCTCCTCCTCGGGCGGCCGCTTCTATCCTATCCCTATTTCGAGGAATTTATTTTGTTCTCCCATATAAAAATTGCTTGGAACCACGCCCTCTCTCCCCCCTCCCTATTCCCCCTCCAACCCACGCTCCCCTCTCTCAACTCTTGCTCATCAATATTTTTATTTGATATTTATCCTCTTATATTTGAGACCCTTCCCGCCCTTTCTCCCTCCCTCATTCATCCTCCCCTCCCTCCTTCTCCCCGCTCCTCAACCAACCCAGCCTCTTCCCTTGTCCCTATCAGAGGACCCCAGTGCCCGCGCTTCCCCGGCTGCTTTCTTCGTCATTCCGTACGCTTGGGTACCTGCGCCCTGGGCCCTCTGCCCTCTGCCCATCTGGCCTCCTACTCCCTGCCCCCTGCCGCTGCCCGTTGCCCTTTGCCCTTTACCCTCTATCTTCCGCCCTCTGCTAATTGCGTTCTTCCCTCTGCCCTCTGCCCTCTGTCTTCTACCCTCTGCCCTCTGCCCTCTGCCTTCTGCCCTGTGCCCTCTGCCCATCTGGCCTCCTACTCCCTGCCCCCTACCGCTGCCCGTTGCCCTTTGCCCTTTGCCCTCTATCTTCCGCCCTCTGCTAATTGCGCTCTACCCTCTGCCCTCTGCCCTCTGCCCTCTGTCCTCTGCCCTCTGCCCTCTGCCCTCTGCCCTCTGCCCTCTGCCTTCTGCCTTCTGCTCTGTGCCCACTGCCCTCTGCCTTCTGTCCTCTGCCTTGCCTTTTTGCCCTGCCCTACCGCTCTGCCCTGCCCCTTGCCCTTCCTTCTATTTGCCCTGGCCTCTGCCCTCTGACTTCTGCCCATCTGACCTCCTGCTCCCTGCCCCCTACCGCTGCCCTGTGCCCTTTGCCCTCTATCTTCTGCCCTCTGCTAATTACGCTCTGCCTTCTGCCCTCTATATTCTGCCCTTTCCCCTCTACTACTTCCAAACAAAAGAAAAAGAAAAGAAATTAAAATTTCAACAATAAAGAAATTAAAAGGGATAAAATTATTTATTAAAATCAAGTGCGACCATAATAGGAATTCTATCCCTTCTAATTCGTGCTGATTTCATATATATATATATATTTATTTATTTATATATATATATATGAAAATATTCAAATTGGGATCACACTCGTTTTCATATCTATTTTTAAGTCTTCCGATTTTATCCTGATTTATTTCTTCCTTCCGATAGAATCGTCTCAAATCCTATATCTTATTTTATCAAATCTGTTGCCTCGGATTGATTTGATCTATATTCGATCTGACCTCCTGCTCCCTGCCCCCTGCCGCTGCCCTTTGCCCTTTGCTTTCTATCTACTATCCTCTATCAATTGCGCTCTGCCCTCTGCCTTCTGCCCTCTATATTCTGCCCTTTCATCTCTACTATTTCCCAAGAAAAGAAAAAGAAAAGAAATTGAAATTTCAATATTAAAGAAATTAAAAAAAATAAAATATATTTATTAAAGTCAAGTATGACCATAATAAGAATTCTATTCCTTCTAATTCGTGCTTTCATATATATATATGAAAATATTCAAATTGGGATCATATTCATCCTCATATCTATTTTTAAGTCTTCCGATTTTATCCTGATTTATTTCTTCTTTCCGATAGAATCGTCTCAAATCCTATATCTTGCCTTATCAAATCTGTTATCTCGGATTGATTTGATCTATATTCGATTTATCTATCTTATTTTATCTTATTCTATCTTGCCTTATCCTATCTTATTTTATCATTCCTCAGATCTATAAATTAGATTATCCTATCATCTCTCTGATAAATTTGATATATTAAATTTCTATCAATAGATCTATCTTATCTTCAGATCTATTCTCTTAATTCTATCTTATCAGATCATATATCAAATCTTATGCTAAATCTTATTAAATCTATCTTCTCAATTCTATTTGATATCTGCTCAGATTTATCTATTCAGATTTTCCATAGGGATCTTATTTCCTTAGCAATCGAGCTATCCTACCAGATCTATTTGCCAGACCTATTTTTCTAGATCTATCTTATTAGCTTATTAGATCTTTCTTATCAACCTATTTTTAGAATCTATCTGTAATTTTCTTTTTAAAAAAATTTTCTTATCAGATCCTATTTTCTATCAGATCTGGATTTCTTGCTAGGATTTCTTTAATATTAAATCTATCTATTCTATTCGATTTATTTTGATAAATTTAATTTATCAAATCAATCTAATTAATCTTGTCTTGCCAGACTTTTCAAGGCAGATATATCTTATAAGATCTTTCTTGATAGATTTATCTTTCTCAGAACAAGTTTATTCAATTCATTTTTTAAAATATGATTTGCCATTTTTCTCCTTTCAATCTATCTAATTTGACTTGATAGACGTATGATATTTTATTCTATTAGATATATTTATATATATATATATATTTCTTTGTCTGGCCGTATTTTGATTCTATTCTTATCATCTATTTCTATCCTTGCCCAATCCCTCGTCCTTTTCTATTCCTGATTCTAATTCTATCGTGATTTCTTTCTATCTTATCGCTATCTAATTTTTTTTCTGGTTATAAGAAAAAATTGCTATTGGATGATTACGACTTTTCTAATATTTGAATTAGAAAAAGCTATAAGCAAGATTCTAAGCTTTTCTAATAAATTGGCTGGTATATTACCAAATTTTCTAATCTTTGAATTTATGCTATATTCGTCAGATCTAATTCCAAATCCAATCGTCAGTCGAGACCCACCAAAATCAAAGCCGCTCCAGGCCCAACGCCCCAGGCCAAGTCCTACCCAGAGATTCAAATTCAAATCTATATCCAATCGATGACCAAATTTATTCCTATCTTACAGACCCAGGTTAGACCCAAATCCAGGATCCAATAGATCGAGACCCAGGCTCCAGACCCAGGCCCAAGACCCAAAATCAAATTCTATCCAAGGGCCAGGCCCAAATCTAGGCCCATCATATAAAATTTAAATTTTTGACGAATAGGGCGGCAGGGCAGGACCTCCAAACCAAGGTTTTGGGGATTGGGCCTTGGGATCTGGGCCTAGGCCTCAGGCCTGGACCTTGGGATTTAGACCTGGGCAGGATTTGGGTCTC